CCAAATTGACCGCTGTCGCAGGGGAAAAATGCAACTACGAAGTTGTCTTTTGATTTAGGTACGTTTGGCGGATGTCAAACTGATTGTGTCCGGAGGCATGCTACAATCGTACAGGGGCCGACCGAAGGTGCGGTGGTATGCCTCGGTGTAGGTCTATGTCGTGCCTGCCACCTGCGTCCTCTCCCGCCCCCCGTCATCTTGAATTTGTCATGACACTGGATGCAGATGGGGAATGGGGAGTGCAGCAGATGCTGCGCAAGTCCACTATCCCTATAAACTAATTTACGAGCAAGTCTTGTAATGGACAGCCATAATGACAGCGCCGCGCCTCTCGCTAGCGCCTGCACCTACGCCCTAGCGAGAGCCTGCTATGAGACGCACGTCTCCCCGTTTCGATTTGTCTCGTTGCAATCCACTGTCTGCACCACACATCTGGTCCATTCTCTGCCTGCACCATGCGAGGCTTGTCACTACCCTTGCGTTGGCTCGGAGGCAATCAACTCAACTCCTCTCGCTGAGTGGTAACACAGGCGGGCACAGTCTAGACCCTGGCGTAAACAGTCTGCCACGACACTTTTGCAGCGGCAACTTTCGGCGACACACGGCTCGTCGCTCTCGCGGACGCCGCCTCCGCGGCGCCGGGCGCACCCTCGTCCGATTGCCAGTCCTTTTGTACAGAATAAAATCTTCTACCCAACTGGCGTCCCGCATCTAACAACTTGGGATATGGCTTGAAGTAGTGGCGCACTGAGCATACACTATCACCGCTTAGCCGCTACAGTCTCTACTTTCACCTTGCTGTGGTGCACACGATGGACATCGTCGAAACCAGACGAACTGTGAGAGGTCGACCGGTTTGTCCCGATTTTAGGACATCCAGCTTTGCCAGGGAGTCCTGCCTGACGGAAACTCAACGGCAAACAAAGGATTCAAAAGATCTTGTGGCGTTGATGGTGCGGATCTTTGACCAGGTCGTGCGAAATCCACTTATCAAACTTAGCCCCTTAGATACCATTTATGCGTCCGACAACCACGAATTAAACATATGACGTGAAACGTCAATCAAAAAGAGACCGTCCTCCCTCCCCCCACTCGAAGTATACGTCAATTACTGTTAAAGCTACCGTAAATATTCGTAGACCATATAAAGCTTACCATCTCGCGCGCAGTACTGACGGACCTTGTGTTAATTCCAACAGCGACTGACGTTTGACCCTCGAGCAACGCCCTGTAAGACAGATGAAGATGTGAAATAAAACGATAAGAAACAACCCAAATGTAGAAAGTTGGGGAGAGATAGGCAACTGGGTCAAAGCCGGCTTAAGACGAGTGAAGGGGGCCAAGGGATTTTGGAGACATCGCAGACTACTGTGGGTGCTTTAGCCGTACTAACAAGAGTAAGATCAGAATGGTCCCCTTTTGAGTATATGCGGAGGAGTGTAAGTGCTAATGGAACAAATAACAAGGGGAGGGGAGAACGCAGTGGGCTTGTGGCGGACAGCCATCATGGTCGGTCTGGTGTCATTGTTCAAGATCTCGTTGCCTCAAGGTCATCCACCCTTTTGCAGTCAGCCGTTCCAGACGCGCTGACCTGAAGTCACACGACCGACTGCAGCTCGGGCATACCTGCGTCCGCACAGCCGCAGCTGCCCATGCGGCCACCTGAGCGCACCTCCTCCCCCGCAACCGCAACCTAAGCCACTGGGATACCACCCCTCGGTAAATGCAACACACACTGACTGGACACCACTTGAGCTTGGCCCACGAGCCTACAAAAGCGGCTGCCACCACTATCTCAGAGACTCAGACATGACTGAACGCAGTTAACACCAGTCCTGGCTTCGCCAGTGGCCACTGTCACCTGGGAGGACAACTCCGGTTCTGTGCACAACAAACCCCTCATTCTGGTGCTTTTTATCTTCTCCTGCTAGTCTGGGATTTGACTTGATTTGACTATGAATTACGTGAGCCTAGTAGTCATCTGGTGGATTCTAGGTAAATTAATTGGGAAATCCTGCTTGGGCAGTCAACTTACTGCATCAGATTTTGTGGATTCCAGACGTTGCAGTAGGTTGGGCGGATAAACTTGACCCAAATGTGATTAAACTCGAGTCGTCCGGTGGGGCCTCGTAGCTCAAGTGGTTGGAGCGTTGGCTGCACTAAAGCCTTCTCCTTACTGCGTGGGTTCGAATCCCACCGAGTTTTTCACAGTTGGGTCAATATGACTGGCTAATTGTAGCTCACAGACTACACACATTCTCACTGCTGCGCCGCTACAGGCCCTGCGTGCAACATCAGAGAAAGTTAAAGGTCAGACTTTTGATGCCGTATTTCATGATACGACTAGTGAAAGGATGATTGTTGGTCCGGAAGAAAGTTGGGGAGAGATAGGTTAGCTACATTTGGGATTCGAGCCGGGTTCTTTGGTCATTGAGCGTTGGGTAGTCCAACGTTCTACTACTGAGCCACGGGTCCATTAACCTGTAGGCTATCATCGGGAATATCCATAATCGTATAGTACTGGTTGCTATGCGGATGACTGCGCGGGGTTCTAGATCGAGTCTTGAGACGCAACGGAACGAGCACGTCCCCTAGCCTAGCCAGTGAATGTTCCTCCAATGGCAGTCTCAGTTTACGCCTCTGCGTTCCCCATCACGTCTGCCTGCGATGATGTGCTCAAACACGAGTGAGAAACTTCAAAAGAGTAAGGCGCACTCACAAGAGATCGTTTCCCCATCTCTAATGAAATATACCAGTACAATAATATAAACGGCAGTGCCATTAGGCCCTTATGTGCAGACCAAACCTTTGGACAGTGCCTGAAAGTTTGCGCTCATTAAATTTCCCGGAAATTTAAGGCCAAAATGTTAGAGTAAAGATAGAGAAGGTGGTGGGAGATAATTAGGAAAAAATGGGATACCCTTAGAAGCAACAGCTACAAGTTATTAAAAAATAATTCAGCTTGATCATTTTTTAACTGTCAAGGGAGCAGATTCAAAACAGCAATTAGAAAAAATAACGTTAAAATGGCAAAAAAACTAAAGGACAGTGAAACGACATCGAAGGTACCAGTCTCGTCGTAAAGATCACTGAGATTTGTTGGTCCAGGCGAAATTCCCAAGAGGGAAAATAACAAAACGGATACGCGACTGACCGTGGTTAGTTCATTTTAACGTCAGTAGCCCTCGTAAAAAAAGCATCAAACTCAACAAATGGATTCAACGAGCTACGAGGGCCAGCGATCGGAAACTACTGAATAATCACCATAAGTTCGCAGTCCACAAACATTTCTAAGCGTCATTGAATGTTATTACAATTTCTGTCTAGTATTAGCTTTCCGTCAGGTAGACTAATCTCAGCACCAGTAGTGACAAGAAAACGGAGGCCGCTCGACTTGTCACTGATATAGAAGAGGCTACTGGGTCGTGACGGGCCAGCGGCAGATGTCGCCGTCACTGGCTGGCGCGGTCGTTTTCCTGTGGTAAGGCCTGCAGGTATGTGCAGGGAGGAATGCACTTGCGTGCTTTCGAAACGTAAATACGGTGATACCAGCACAGATTTGTAGAGGGGCGTTCACAGGATTTAGAACGACGGCGTGAGGGTGACCGGTTTCTGGCCGACTGTAAGCTGTTGATAGCAGTGCGCATTGGACTTACTTGTGTGCACAGAAGACGTACAGTGTCCCTTAGATCGTCATAGTCACCGCGGTGAGGACTGTTCGGTTGTCTTGATGGACCTGATGGCGTGGTGGCTCTGCGCGATGAGCAACGACAGGCCGACAGCTCCACACAAGTGTCCAGTGGAGGAGTGCCTTCTGGACAGGAAATGGCTACTCTATCAGATCTGTCGGGAGCCGAGGTCAGTTGAGTATTGGCGCATGTCGCGCCGACTGGGTAACATTCACTGATCCTGTCGGCATGAGTGGCCATTTTGTCTAGAGAGATACTGATGTCCAGCGTGGCCAAAACCTGCTGCATGGGAACCGGCAATTTATGTAACCAGATTTGTCGAAAGACGGCGTTGTCCAGCCAGAAATGAACGCATGTGGCGCATAAGCTGCGAAGGAGTTTGATCACCCAGGTCTACCTGCGTAAATAACTCCCGTAGTATCCGATTGGCCGACTTAGCCACTCTCTGGATGACGGCATTCTTTAACTGGGTGTACGGGTCGTTGGCAGGAATGAGGTCGAGGAGGTCGTCGACATCGACGGCAACGTCGGAGGGAAGACTCTGCACCACATGAGAGTATCGGGTGCGTTCGCTTGTAATGCGGCTCGTTGAGAAAACGGCCTCAATCTGATGAAACCAAGCCCAGAGGTTGCTCGGTGTAATGGGCCAGGCTCGCGAAAAGTGAAGTCCTCTTCAATACCAGGTTGTTATAGAAACTGAGTGTCCTTTTGGGTAATTATCCAAAGTCCCGAGCTGGTCTTGGTTGATGGCGCTTTTCGCCTGTAATGCCACTGGAGCCTGATGCACATAGACAATTCCGCGAACTCTCGACCAAATTCTAGACGAACTTCTGGAAGCCGTCCCCCTCGTCCATAGTCCTATCCCCCAG